TCTCCTGACAGTCTGGGGGTCACCCTGCCGCCCCCACCCCATGCCCTGTGCTGGCCCACGCACCCCCCACATCTGCGTGGCTGTGAGGTGATGTGCCCCACCAGCTCCTGCCCTCTCTGCACAGCCCTTCTCTGACCCCCAGCTCTGGGCCAGGCACCCACGTGGACTTGTCCACCTCCTGCCGAATCTTCTTGACTGACAGCTGGATGCTGGAGCGGATGCTGTTCAAGATGTTCTTGAAGTAGGTCTTCTCGTGAACCTCAAACTGCAGGAGGTGGGGCAGCACTCAGCGGCAGGCGGGGCAGGGCTACTGCAGACCGGGCCACAGCCTGGCCACGCAGGACACCTGCCCTCCTGAGAGCTGTTAGTAGAGAGGCTGTGGACAGGCTGGGCAGACAGGGTCAGGGCCCCACCTCATACTCCTTGTCCACAGCGTCGGGTTTCAGCAGGAAGTCTGGGTAGCCGACCATCACCATCATGTACTGGAGCTGCAGGCCAAGGGCAGGTGAGGGTGGCATGGGCCCTCCGGACACAGCACTTCCCCCACCCCCCAACCAAGAAAGGGACAGCGCCCCCCACCCCCACCACCAAGAAAGGGAGCACTAGGCCAGCCTGGGAGTGGGCTTCACCGTGAGCTTCATGGTGGAGGCAGGCCTAGTCAACTCCACAAAGCCTCTTTGCCCCTTTTGTTCTCTTTCATTGGCACACAGCAGGTGCTCAATGTGTATGGGACCAACAGATGGCAATGAGTCCCCTCACCTTGGCCCGAGCGGCAGCCCTGGTCTCAGCATCCATCCAGTCCAGCTCCTCCAGGCGCTGGCCCAGGATGTACTTGATGTCTTCCACCAGCTGCTGCACCTGCAGGGTCAGGGGTCAGGGAGCAAGGGTCAACTCAGCCATCATTTACACTGGTCCATCACTCCTGGCAGGAGGGGTACCCCCATCTTTAAGCAGCACTTTCTAAGCCCAAATCTCAGCGCTGAGCACCAAGAGAACACCTTGGAGGTGGGGATCCAGGCCCTGCACCCCTAACAATGAGCTCACAGGCTAGAAGAGGAAACTGCCCCAGCAATGACCACAGACATCCCTGAGGCCACGCCTCCTGAGCACTGCTGAGAAGGTGGGCTGGGGCCTGGCAGGGAGGTCCACCTGCAGTTCATAGTCCACATGAGCTTCCTGGAAGAGGAGGCTTGCGGAGGAGCACTATAATGCCTCAGAATGGGTTGAGTCCTTAGCAAGGCCTGGTGCCCCTTCCTGCAGGGGGACATGTGGGGCTCCCCATGCTAGGACCATGGCCTCAGGAGGGGTCCACCCTCAGTTTGGCACCATCCTCCCCACCCAAACTAGGGCAGCCCACCTTGGCTTTGCTGGCAGCTGAGAAGTGCTCATGTACAAAGAGGGCACCAAGGGCCATGCCAAAGTGGCGGTTGGCCTGGCCCAGGCAGACCCGGGCCAGCTCCTGTGGCTTGTCGCTGCCCTCCATCTCCCGTGCCAGCTCGTGCAGCGCCTCACGGAATGGCGGGGACAGGTGCTCACTCAGAACCACCACCACGCGCCACACCAGGTAGTTGTGCAGGACCCTGGGGGCCAGGTGAAGCCAGTGGGTATCCAGATGTTCATATGAGCCACCAAGGGCACCACCGCCACCTGTTCCCCCCAACCTGCCGCTGGACCCAGGACCCAGACAACCCCACAAAGATGGGGCAGGAGGTCATCCCAGATATGCAGAGCAGAAAATTTAAAGCCCACCCGGCAGATAGGTCCGGGGTGCAGGGGAGGGACCTAGTGGCCACTGGGCAGAAAATGCCAGCTCTGCAGCCATACCGGTGGGGTGTGGAGCGGATGAGCTGGGACACCTGCTGCATGTAGTCTGTTGCCAGCAGCACCACCTCCTCTTCCTCTGAGAAGTCCTCCTGGAAGATCTGGTCTAGCAGCCACTTCCACTGCAACTGTGAGGCCAAGGACAGGGACAGTGAGGCTGTCAGAGTCCTCACTGACAGAGAGGGACAGAGTGGCAGGGGCCACAGAAGACGGTGGGGGGCAGGGAGAGGCAATGAGGGAACATGAGAGTCCATAGCCAGGGAAGGGCTTGTCCAACTACCCCCAACCCTGCCTGCCCACAAGGACTAGGCCACACTCACATAGGGGGTGATCTTCTGCAGCTGCCCCAGCGTCACCTTGTTGTACATGGAGCTGACATCTCGCCGTAGGTCATCATACTCTGACACAGTGATCTGGGGGAGAGATCACAGCTGACCCAGCCCTGCTCCATGGTGCCCTCCCCCCAGTCCAGGGCAGCCGCCAACCTGGCCTGCTCACATTGGCCAGCTGCTGCTCCACCTGCAGAATCTCCTGGGCCTTCTGCTTCACAGCGTCTGCACCCAGGAGGCTGAGCACTCGCTCCATGAACACCCTGTATGCTGCAAGGATCTGTACCAGGGGAGGTGGCTTATCCAGGGACAGGGACAGGCCTAGCCTGGGTCCACCCCTCCTGGGGCCCCAGGCCTTCCCTCCCTTCCCATCCCTTGTCCCCGCACCTTCTCACTCTCCTCATCCTGAGCTAGGTACAGGGTCCTCTCTGGCAGGGTGAGCCCATCCTGGTCAATCTGAGGAGGGAGACAGGAGCCAGAGGTCAGAGGTCCATGCCCTCAAGTTCCCTAAACAGAGGGAATTCCCCCCTCAATGCCCAGAGTGCACCCAGACATCCATGGGTACAGCCCCAGAAACACACAGACCCCAGCCCCTCCTCCTACCCAGATTAAATGGCCAAAGCCCCCATCCCTGACTGTTCCAGCCTGGGGACGCCCAATCTTCCCCCTGTACTCCTGCATTTTCCTTATCTGTCAGGGACATTTGTAGATCCTCCACTGACTGTTGGGACCCCTAGCTTTGGGGCCAGCGCCAGCCCTCGCCGAGATGTCCACCCAGCCCGCCGGCGCGCCCCTCCCTCCTGGCCCTCACTGCCTGCAAGAGGGCTGGGAAATTACAGCTCCCGCGGCTCAGCTAAACACTGCAATTACCCCAGGGAAATTACTTGGGCCCTCCTCCCGCGCTCTGCCGCTGTGCGCTCCCTTTCCCTCCCCTGCTCTCTTCTCCCCTAGTCTCTTCTCGCGCACCCGCCTCCCGCGCGCAAGAAGCCCTGGGCAAGGCCACTACGCCCCGGGCTGTGGCCGCTGTCGGGGAGCTGGGGGGGAGCACTCACGCGGATGACGTAGCGCGAGGAGTTCCTGTCGTCCAGGCTGACCGTGAGCGAGAAGAGCGCGGCGGCGCTGTACTCGCCCTGTGCCTTGTACAGCAGTCGGTTGAGGTCCCATCGCGCCGAGACCCCCGGGCGCTCCGCCGCGCCGCCCAGGTCCCAGCCTCCGCAGTCCTCGATGACCTCCAGCATGGGCCGCGGGCCCAGTCGCTCGATCTCGCGCATGTCGAGGCACGAGCGGAAGAAAGCACGCACCTTACGCTGGGCCGCGCCGCCAGGTCCACCCCCGGGCCGCGCCAGCAAGCGCCGTAGGCGCTCCTCGTTCTGCTCGCCGATAGCCGCGATGGTGCCATAGGTGAGCTTGTCGTCGGGGATGGCGTGGCGCCGCAGCCAGCCGCCGCAGGCGAACGAGTAGAAGTCCTGGCATGGGTCGATGCTGGCGTCCAGGTTGGCGGCCAGAAAGCGAGCGGCACGCGCGAAGGCCTTGCGCTCAGGACAGCCTTCCGGACAGGTGCCGCCGCCCGCCGCGACCGGGCCCAGGTACTTGAGCGCCAGCATAGCGGCCAGGATGGCGCAGAGGCCGGCGGCGAACACCAGCCCCGACAGCAGGCACACCTCGCGCCGGTTCCATCGCGGCAGCCCGGCCCGGGCCCCCGCGGCGCTCCGCGTAGCGCCCAAGGGAAAGCCCGGGGGCAGGGAGGCCCCGCGCGCGCCCCCCGCGCCGCAGCGGCTCACGTACTTGACCTCCTGGAACTCGTCGTAGTGAGCCGTCAGCGAATACGGCGGCTCCATGGCGCTGAGGCCGCCGCGCTGCAGCCCTGGGCCACCTGGGCTACGGGATGCTCGCGGCTGCCGACCTCCTGGTGGTCCTCCACATGGCCCCGGAGCCGCAGCTGCTGGAAAGGCAGAAGCAGGCTCAGGAGGCGCCGCAGCCCGACGGGGCTCCAGGGCAAGAGGAGGTGCGCAGTCCTGGATGCTGAGGCCCCAGCATTGGGCCTCGTTCACTGCGGAATCCAGGGACAAGGAGAGCTCGGCGGGGCCACCACCCCCACGTGAACAATGGAGTCTTCTCCCCTGTCCCCTCCCTGCACACACGTGCGGGCCGCAGGGTTGGGCGGTCCCTGATGGGAAGCAAGAGGCGCTGGGCACGGGGCCTGGCATGTAGTGGGCCTTTACTGGAAGTGCCGTCCCTCTTCCCTTCGTCTTTCTTGTCCACGACCTGCCCCAGCCAAGGCCGAGTGAGGTAGGGGAAGGAGCCGAGGCTTGAGTGAGGAGGTGCGGTCAGGGGCGCGTCTATGCGGCACTTCCAGCTCTCCGCGCTGGACCCAGACATAGGCTCCAGAAAGCGGCCAAAGAACCAAACTTCGTCCTCGCGGAAGTCCTCAGGACCCACCATTCCAACCCCGCTTGCTGGCTCTTTCTGCTTGGTGGCCCGACGGCCCACTCACCCCTTTCCTAGGGGCGCGCGCCAACGCCCCAGGGTCTCGGACACACAGCCCACCCACTGGATGGCCCTGATGGAGAACCCAAGACCAGTTTCTTCCCCCCACCCCCACCATCTCTGTTTCCGCCCCGAGCCACTCCTGGCTTCAACAGGTTCTCCCCAGAACCCAAACTTGGGCGAAGTTTCACCCCCTGCGGGGCGCGAGCTGGCCGGCGAGCCCCGAGCCCTGGCGCTGTGCTGCGCAGTCCGCGAAGCCGGAGAGCCGAGCCCGGGAGCCGCAGTCGCAGCCGCAGCCGAAAGGACGCAGACAAAGCCGGGAGGCTCCGTGCAGTGGCGGCGGCGGCGACGGAGGTGGCCGCGATGGTGGCCTCAGCGGCAGGGACTCGGGCGCCACTTACCCGGCAGGTGCGGCCGGAGCCAGCGGGGACCCAGAGAGTCGGGCCTGAGCGGGGGCCTGAGCCGGAGCTGAGCGGCGCGGGCGTCCGGTGCCTCCCAGCGCCCGCCGCCTCCTCTGCCGCCGCGCGAAGCCCGCCGCGCCGCCCGCCCGCCGGCCCGAGGGAGGGGGCGCGCCGGCGGCTCCACCCTCCTCCGCCCGCCCCGCGCGCCCCTCCTTCCTCCTGCGTCTCTCGGGCCACCTGGCAGTGGGGCGGCAGCGCGGACGTGGGTCGGCTGCCGCGGAGACAGGCGCCCGGGGGTCGTGCGCGGGCTGCGGTCGGGGACTCCAGGGTCCAGCCGCGTTCCGGGACGAGTGAGGGCTCCGGGTACTCCAGCGAGGGGTCTCCTCCGATCCAGCTTCCCCACTCCCAGCAGGCTGGAAAGGGGCTGGAGCTAGAGATGAGGAGCCGAGGACTCCTCCCAAGGGCTGCGGGCGGTGTCAGTAGCGCCTGTATCTGCCAGCACAGTCCCTGGCGCAGAGCGCACCTTCACTACCGGCTTCTTTGTCCTCCTTGGAACCCCTGGATCAGCTCTCCACCAGGGCTTCTAGTTGGCCTCGCCCCCTTCATCTATCCCCTGGTGAAGGGAGCTCAGTGGGGACTCCTGCAAGAAGAGGGCTTGCAGCCCCCTTCCCCATCCTCCCCAGCCTTGGCTGGACCTGGCACCACCGCTCAGGAAGTCCCTGGCCCAGGTAGGAAGAAAAGGCCGAGACAAGGAGAGAAGTCTCCCTGCTGGCGCCTGGAAGGGCTGGAGCCTGCCCCCTCTGCCCAGCAGCCCCAGCCCTCAGACAGGCCCTGAGCCTCAGGACCTTGGTATGTGGACTGTTGAGGGGTGGGAAGGCAGGGAGCAGGGACCCTAAATTCATCCACCCCCCGCCTTCTTCCAGATGAACTGGCGTTTTAAATGTGGGGCCTCCCGGCGGCCTGGAGCCAGAGCCTCTTCTACCTGCCTCCCTCCCTTGGCCAGAGAGCCTGGCCTTCATGGGACTAGAGAACTTGGGGTCCTTGGAAGACTGATACTGTTTCTGGAATCTCTGCTTTCTCTGCCCTGCCTGACCCACCCCTTCTCCATCTGGTGTCTCTAGCAGGGGACCCCACAAAACATCAGCCCCTCTCCAGGCCTGCCGGCTCCAGCCCACAGGATTGGCCTAAACAATGGTAAGAGCCAAGGAGGGCCATCTGATAAAAATCATGACAAGGTAGGGACTCAGCTAACCTACCCATCACCCCATTCCAGTCCTCTGGGGCTGTGCATCTGCCCAGCTCCTGGGCCCTGGCCCCGAGTGACAGCCTCTGCCCCTGTCTTGCCTGTCTCCTGTGTGTTCACCTCTCCATCTCTAAGCCCCCACTCTGGATACCCTGCCTCCATCTCTGGCCACCCCAGGGTCATCCTCTGCCCAATGTATCCTTCTCGGGTCCTATTAATTCTAAGGAGGAAAAAATGGAATTACTTAAAATGTGGTGTTTCCATGACGGGGGAGGGGAGGGCAGAGAGGTGGCAAAGTGGCTCTTTGTGCTTTTAATCTGCATTTTTCCCTCAACGTTCCTGTCTCCGGGAGGATAATTTTCCAGCCTTTTCAGGCCCTGATTGGTATCATTTCTCCAGCAATGACAGCTTTTATTTTCCCCGAAATGAATGCCGTGAAATTTCCAAGAAATATAAAAATGGATATTGTCTCAGAGAGCCGACTCTTCCGACAGAAAGGCACAGAGGCAAATATGCTTCCCTAGGGACACTTCCGCTCCAGCCACAGGGGTCGGGTGGGGGCAGCCTCCAGGCACTCAGTCTCTCCTCCCTCCTTTCTCCCTCCCTCTTCCTTTCCTCCTCCCTCCCAGGTCAGCTCTGGGACCCCCTTCCAGCCACCCTCTCCCAGACTCAGCTGCTATTGATCTGCTCATGGGCCTCAGGACTCCCAGCCAGGTGCCCTGCAGGCTCCACCTCACCTGCTGTGTTCACTTCTCATCCCCCAGCCCTGCCCCAGAGAGCAGCAACCAGGGCCTACAGGAGTTGACTTGGAATTGGGCTCTCTGACCCCTCAGTCCTGGTGGCCCTGCACAGACTACCAATAAAGAGAGGTCGGAGGCCCACTTCCTTGACTTCAACACCTTCTCTGTAAGGGAAACTGACGCTGTAGGGGAGTAGGGCACCAGCGGTCTGGCCTGTTGCTTGCTCACTCTTTGCAGGGTGGGGGGGGGCTCTCTTCCTACCCCTAATTGCCAAGGTGACCCCATGACTCATGAGCAAGAGAATGACAGGCCACAGCAGTGCCCAACTAAACCCAGCCAAGCCCTGAGTGAGGCAGCTGAGTGCCCAGCTTAGGGGAGCAGTGGGGTGCCGCCACAGCTGACTTGGAGGGCAAAGGCCTGAGGGGATGCCAGGGGCAGAGATGGGTTCAGAGCCTGACCCTCTGTCTCCTCCCTGACCAAGGGCAGATCCCAGCCACCCTGTAGAGTGGGGCATCACTCGGTTTGGGTTCCGGGCATGGAGCCCTCCTTGGGGACCGCATGCTGTCACCAATAGCTTGCATCTGTTGCCCATTCACCAAGTGGGTAGCTAAGTGCCTCGCTCTGAGGTGGGGCTGCCACCTAACGCCAGGCCTGGCCCTATCTGGAGCCTGTTTGTGGTGGGACCCGCTTTTCTCCTCCAGCCTGCATGTGGGTGGGGATGAACCCCTTGTCCTGCCTCAGTGTGCCGCCTCAGGGCATCAGCTCTGGGACCTGCCCCGCCAGCCTCCACCCTGTCCAACCAGGCCTCACACCTCTGCAGATGTGTGGTGTCTTCTGAGCTGAGCCCTCAAAACACACCCCAGCCAGCTTCCTGTCCTCCACCCGGCCTCTCGGGGCTCATCCCATCTATTATTCAAGGCACAAAATGGATTTTTAATTTGAGAAATGAAATGACTCTCCCAAGTGGCCGGGTGGCAGGGAGGGGGCAGAGGAAGGCCAGAGCCTCCGCAGCCGCCACGGTGCTGACTCAGGTTTGCCTTGGAAATCTCAGGGCCACAGTTGAACTGAGAGATCCCCAAAGCCCCAGGACCCCAGCACTCTGCCCCAGGCCTCCACTCCTCCCCGCTGCTGTGACCAGGTGGGGTGACAGGGTGCCCATCAGTCCTGCCTGAGCCTCCAGTGAGGCCTGCCTCTGGCCGGGCAGTGGGGTCTCTGTCCCCCACTGACTTTCAGATTCCTGTGCCTCAAGGCAGCCCTTGGGCTCCCAGGCCTGGCCTCTCACCTCCCCACACTCCCCAGCCTTCCTGGGCTGGCTTCCTCCACCGTGTCCAGACCTCCAGCTGAGCTCCTTTGCTAGGCCCTGACCCCGAACTAGGCCCACTCCACCCTGGACTGCTGCCCTGGCCTCCACTCTGTGGAGGGGTTCTCCACTCCAGAACCCCTCCTCACCCCTCACGGTGGAGCTCACACACCTTAGCGTGGCCCATGAGGCAGGGCCTCCTCCCAGCTCTTCTCTTTGACCCTCTCTGCTTCCCCGCCCCCACACCTCCCTCTTTCCTCTGGTCACTCAGCTCTATTTCCATTTCCCAGAAAGTGACTGGCTATCTCCAGCCTCATCCCTCAGGCCTTAGCACTCGCTGTTCTGGCTGCCTGGAGCCCCCTTCCTCCCTCCCCTCCTCCAGCCAATCGCCACCCATCCTTGGGGCACCTGGGAGTGACCTCACCTCTCTGATCAGATGCTGACTCCACAGGCCCCTACTCCACTGGATGCGTAGGTCTCTCCTACGGCAGCCCCTGTTCTTCACCTCCGTGTAACCCACAGCCCCTTCTGGAGGCTGTGGGACAGGGGATGCATGTAATCAAGTCGAGTGACAACTGTGATCATTCATGGAGATGCCCTGCATGAAGTATCTCTGGACTCCAGGCCATACACCAGGCACAGCACCCAGACAAACCTGCCCAGGCGCTTGGGTCCTGAACCCGCCAGACGACAAGAGGAGCCGTTTTCCAGTCTCCCGCATGCCTCCCCTCCACTCTGAACCCCATGGTTCACTTTGTCCCGCCATGCACAGACTCCTCTCTGGGTTGCCTCCCAACCTCTAGAGTAACGCTGTTTTTATACAGGAAACATGTAAATATACTCTTGCATTAAAATATTTAAGCCACACAAGTACATAGAGGATATGCATGAAAGCCCTCTGTCACGCACTGGCAGCCCGTGGTGTTGCCCAGCGAGAGTACAGTGCCGCAGCCATACCTCACTGCAGCCTGGACCTCCTAGGCTCAAGTAATCCTCCCACCTTAGCCTCCAAAGTAGCTGGGACCACAGGTGTTGCCACCATGCCTGGCTAATTTTTTTTTATTGTGTAGAGACGTGAGTCTCACTATGTTACCCAGGCTGGTCTTGAACTCCTGGCGATCAAGTTGAGTGATGACTGTGATCACTTGAAGAGGCTGTCTTCCTCAGCCTCTCAAAGTGCTGGGATTGGGCCTCTCAAAGTGTGGGCCACTGTGCCCAGCACTTATTGATTTATTTTTAATAAATAGGACACAATAGGATGGATACTTGAGTGACTCTCCTCTCCATGTGGCCTGTGCTAGTGTTTCCCACCCAGAGGTCCTCAAGGTCACCCTCCTTGGCTGAGGGACACTTAGGTTGTCTTGCCCACCCCTGTCTGGTCTTCAAATCCTAAGGCCTTGGCCTGGAGTCTTGCCTCGAACTCTCCCTCTCTGCCTGCCGCCCTGTCCCACCTTACCTGCCCCTGGCCCTCCTCCACCCCCTGGATGCTGTGCCCAGGTGTTTGGCTCTGGGCCCAGGTCCCACCCACACCTGCTGGTGCTGGAAACTTACTGCACTCCAAACCCACTTGGAAAGCCTTCTCACCTCCTCCTCTCATTCCCAACCTGTTCCTGTCTACCGCTCTGGCCCTTCCTTCTCCCTTTCTTAGTGGAGAAGGGGTCTCTCCCTCCTTCCCCCCCAGGATGCTGCTGCAGTCCTGCCTGCTCCTGCCCCCAGCCTCTGTGTAGCCCCAGCCATCGTGGCTTCTGAGGCTTCCTGGGTCTGGTCCCTTCACACTCCCCTGAGTATCCTGCTCTCCCAGCCTGGCATACTCACAGCACAGCCTTTGTTCAAGCTGTCCCCTCTGCCTGAGTGCTGTGTTCCCAGACCTGTGTCCCTCCTTAAGGTCCATCTCAAGCTTCCAGAAGCCCCCTAACAGCCCCCACCTGAGGAAGGTGCCCAAGGGTGCCTGGCAGGAGTGATGCATGCCCCACAGTGCCCAGCCCAGAGCCTGGCACATGACCCCAGAGCAGGGGTGCCCAGATCTTGGGCCAGGTGAATAGAGCAAGGCCCCAGATCCAACCTGGACAGGCCTGTCACAACTGTGGGCAGGACAACCACTGTCACATACAGAGCAGCTCCCAAGTGCCATGCTGTGCACCAAGCCCTCTAGCTCCTCCACACTGAGCCTTGCGCTGAGTAAGCCCATGAGGGAGCCCTGTCGTTGGCCCCAGTTTACAAAGGAAGAAACTGGGATGCATGGAAGGAAAGGAAGATGCCCAGGTTCATGCAGCTACTTCGTTTTGAAACAGACTTGACCCTCTGTGTGCTGCATTCAGAGTCTCGGGGCCACGCACACTCTGGGTGGGGAGATGGAAGGACAGCTCTGCGGGGGTCAGTAGGGCGCTCGGGGACCCAAGTGACAGCAGCTCAGAGCCAGGGGCCCAGCCTGGGACCTCAGGCCCAGGAAATGCATTGGAGATGCCAAGGCTGGCTTTGCCCAGAGACCTCAGGAGGCATCTCAGGGCAGGGCTTGTAGCCGGGACCTTGGCCTCCTTTCCAGATGTCCCCACCTCCATGGGCCCTTCCTGGATTTCCCTATCTGAAGAGGCCAAGCCGTTTTCTGTCTGTAGCACTGGGTACATCCTGAACTGCATGTGTCCCCACTTGATGTTCTTATGACTCGGTATTTTCATAACAGCCTCTCCTCCTCAGCTCTGCTGGGACACTAGATTTCCCCATTGCCTCGTCCTTCCTGCCCAACCTAAGTGGCAAGGCCTTGACCACAAGGCAGGGAGTCAGGAGTGGGGGTCAGATTTGCAGAGTGAAAGTTGGATAGTGGTGAAGGGGGACAGGAAGGAGGGGGCAGTAGAGAGTCTCCAGCTGGGCAGCCTCCAGCACCGACAAGCAGGCCCCTTGGGCTCCCCATCTGATGGACAGGCCAACACAGGAGCTCAGCTCCTGCTGCAAGACGGATGCGGATATGGCATCCCTGGACACCCCTTCCTGCCAGGGTCTCCATGGTGCATTGCCTGGGAATGCAAGGAGGGGCGAGCCTGGGACAGGCCGGGAAGCCTGAACTGCCTGAAAGGCCTTTTCCTTGGCTCACAGGGTCCCTGGGCCTGCAGCCCCTCCCCCAGTACTCCATCATCATCTCAAGTGATTGGAGCTGAAGGGGATCGTTAGCTAATTAAAGCTGAGGCCACTAATTGTCCCTTGTAGGAGAGAGAGCAGGGCTATGCAGGGGAGAAGACAGAGGGTCTGAGGAAGGCAGATATTGGCAGGCGGGGGGCTGGGCACAGGGGCCTGGCTCTGGTAGGGCCTCCTTCCAGACTGTGTGTTTGAGGGTCAGGCATTGTCAGAGGCTCCTTACAGTGGAACTGTGGGATAAAGGACTGGAGACGTAGGTCTGGTGCTCTGGTGATTCACCCCGATCACTGTGAATACCAGTGCCCACCTCTGCCCCACCTCTGTCCACTGCCACGCACTCGGGGGGTGTGGGCTGGACAGTGCATGGCAGGGGCTCCCACAGACTTCCTCCTCTGTCATGATGAGAGTTCAGATTGGAGGACAGGCCACTGGGTACAGGTTTCCCCAACTCCTGCATGGCCCCACCCCGAGCAGGAAGCCTGGGTGCCAAGTTTCTGCCTTCCCTTCCACTAGTGACAGCCTCTTGGGCCTGCCAGGAGTAGCCAGCAGCAAGGTGCGCATCCACACGTCACCGGAGAGTGCCAGCCATGCCTGGGGCTGCCCTCAGCCTGGCACCAAGCTCTCCTCTTGGCAAGATGTCCCAGAGTCTGTGACAGAACTACGAAAGAGGGCTATAGTTTGCTGCTGCTGCCGAACAAACGAGCAGAAATGCAGCTACTTAGAGCGCTCGCTTGTACAAGCTCCCAGCTCACGGGGTCGGCCATCCAGGCATGTGATTCTCCGCCCATGGCCTCACTGGGCCAAATCAAGGTGTCGGCTGGGGATGCGGCACTCATCTGGGGTTCAGGGGCCTCCTCCAAGGTCAGGGTTTGTGGCAGAATTCAGTTTCCTGAAGTGGTAAAATCAAGGTGTCTACTTTGGGGGTGCTGCTGTCAGCCCCCAGAGTCCCCCTCTATTTCCAATGGAGGATCCCTCTCTCCAGTGGAATCTTCCACTTACTTCAAATTTCTGTTTTCCTCACTTTGACCAGCCAGGGAAACTCTCGCTTTTACTTATTTATTTTTTAAGAGATAGGATCTCTCTGTGTTGCCCAGGCTGGTCTCAAACTCCTGGGCTCAAGCAATCCTTCCATCTTGGCCTCCCAAAGTGCTAGGATTATAGGTGTGAACCACTGCCCTTGGCAAAATTCTGATTTTGAAGGGCTCCTATGTAGGTCAGGCTCACTCCAATAATCTCCCTGTCTCAAAGTCATTTGGAACCTTAATCACATCTGTAAAATCCCTTCACAACACTCCCCAGATTTGTGTTCAGTTGAGTAATGGTGGGACATGCATGTGTACACCAGGGGCTGGGAATCTTGGGGCATCTTAGGATTCTGCCTCCCACAGGATGTGGGTCAGAGAGCAAAGACAGTGTTGAGGACAGAAGTAGCTGACTTCCCGGCCAGGCCCCGGGCAGTAAGTGCTGAATTACCTCATTCACTCCTCAGGACAAGCCCAGGAGTAGGTGCTACTATTATCCCATTTCCCAGAGGAAGCAACTGAGGCCCTGAGAGATTGACTTTCACAGTCACACAGCTGGTGAGTGGCCACACTGAGACTAGTGTACGTGCAGTGTGACCCAGCCCTGGCTGTGTTTTGGGGAAGTCATGTACCTGCTCTGGGCCTCTGGGAAATAGATGCTGAGGTCTGTTCCCCATGGACAAGTGGGTCAGACGTGGGGACACGTTGCAGGTACTCACCAGGCTCATCTGTGGCCCCATCACAGGTACTTGGCATCTGTGACACCCAGTGAGCTGCGGTCCCTCCTGTCAGCTGTCCATTCACGGCCAGTCTGACTTTTTTTTTTTTGAGACAGTGTCTCGACCTTGTTGCCCAGGCTAGAGTGCAATGGCTTGATCTCGGCTCACTGCAACCTCTGCCTCCCGGGTTCAAGCGATTAACCTGCCTCAGCCTCCCAAGTAGCTGGGATTACAGGAACCCAGTCCAGCTAATTTTTGTATTTTTAGTAGAGATAGGATTTTACCATGTTGGCCAGGCCGGTCTGGAACTCTTGACCTTAGGTGATCCACCCCCTTCAGCCTCCCAAAGTGCCAGTATTACAGGCATGAGCCACAGTGCCGATGCAGTCTGGCTTCCACAACCCAGTGATGGTGTTCCTTGGCATTGGGGCTGGGAGGCTTCACAGTACAGGAACCCCAGGATTCATGGCCAGGAAACTGCTGCTCCTCCATGGGGGTTGGCCCCTAGGCAACTGAATGGAGGCTTGCAGACCTTTGCCCAGGGGTGGGCATATGTGACTGTTGTCGGGGGCGGGGGGGGATCCCTCCTACTCCTTGGACCTGGCTCTCCCCACTCATCAGGCTGCAGCTCTGGAAGGTAGGGGACTACAGAGGTATCAGTGGCTGCCCGCTCCCCCTCCCATGAGAAGGGCTGTCAGCCCCCAACAGGCGGCCTATCCCCAGCCCCCACCCCCGCCCCCATGCTTCAGCAGCCTCCCTCAGTAACGGGGCTTAATCATAGCATGCATTAGCTAGGGCCTGCTGCCTGCAATTATCCCTTCAATCAGCCACCCACCACCCGCCACCCCCAGCCTCAGGCCACCCATGGGGACACCTCACCCGCCCTCCCTGCCCCATCCCCAAGTACAGCACAGGTGCCCCAGCCGCTGCAGATGGACAGAGCAGTGACCCCTGGCAGCAGAGGCCTGGGGCGGGGGCAGCCATCAGACAGAGAGCTACTGCTCAGGGTCACAGGCAATTATTTTAAAAGCCTGTTGCAAGAGAACACACTGCCTGCTCAGCACAGCCTGCTCATCCTGAGGGTTGCACTGCCCCAGGTTGCTGCCAGGCTCACATGCACACACGGGTGTTCACACATGCCGGCCACACACACAGGGACAGGCACTGCCAGGGCACAGGCGGTGTGGATGGAAAACCCTGTGGTCCGCACACAGACCCCAGAGAGACGGGGCCCTGGCCATCCTTGAGGTGTGCACAGAGGAGGCTCCACTTCCCCAAGCAGCCCTTGTCATCTGCGGGTTTTCCATACAGCCCTTGCACCCTCCCGCCCCCATCCCCAGCACAGACCACCTCCTGACCTTTGGCTCGCCCACCTCACACCCGACTGGGGCACAGGGACTGGGGCCTGAGCTGAATGGGAGGACTTCTTGTCATACCCAGCCTCACTCTGGGGTTATGGGGAGAGGAGGAGAGGAGGCGAGAAGGCGGACCTGGCTGGGGTAGTGGAGGAGGGGACCGCTGTTGTGCTGTGATTCTCTCTAATTGCTGTTTTGCTGAGAGGTAATTAAAATCTCTTTTTATTTCACACGTCAGAGCCTTCGCCAGCCTGTGGAGAGGGCACAGGGGGAGGCTGGGGGTGGGGGCAGTGGAGAGCCGGGCATCTGGCACATGGAGGGGTCA